TTGTTTATTTGCTATAATGAAGAAACAGCATCATTTTGAGATTTGCTCATTGACTTTTATAACTTGATTAACATCTTGCTCATTGTCTTTTATAACTTGATTAACATCTACAATGCTTGAACTTTGTGAAACATTTTTTTTGTTTATTTTCATTATTATATTTTTTGATCCAAGTGGTCTTCCTCTTTTCTTTGTTCGAATATTATCTTGATTTTTTTCTTATTGTCTCTTAACTTATAGTATGCTTCTACCTCAGTGGCTGATACACTTTTCCCTGCTGTTATTGGTAACTTGAATTTTAAGCTTGCTTCGTATTAAGATTAGATGTATGAATTTCAGCGACATATTTCCTAAACGACTCTCCAATATTGAGATGAATATCTATATTTGTAAAACTGGGTAATTTTGAGAGAACATATTCAGGGTCGAATGAATATATTCCAGTAGCCTTAAATCCTGCTTGTAGATTATGTTCTAGATTTTCTTTACTAACATTAAGAGTAGATTTAATGAGCTGTGAAAACAAATTTTTTGGTAGGTTACTAGCTTTTTTCCCTTTTAAAATACTTTTAAAATCATTAATTCTAATTGGTGTATACATTTGTCACTTAAATAAAGTAAATGATTTTCAAAACAAAGTTCCTCATCAATGCTAAGAGCAATAGGGCGCCCTACTGATTTACAGTGTTTACTTTTTAGCTTATAAAATAATGTTGTTTTAGGTACTTTAAAAATTTTAGAAGTTTCACCAATCAACATGTTTTCTAATTTAATTTTGGCTAATGCCTCTTGAAGTGTAGCATTTGAGTAATTAGATATTGTGCCATATTTTTTAGTACCAGGATGAGTTGTCAAACTTTTTCTTGGCATTTTAAGAATGCTAAAAATATAGAGATAATTGCTGTTGTTAATGAAAATTATTTAATCACATATTTGCTATTAATAAATTAATTTTTTATTACTATCAAAAAAGCCATAAATATCAAAATACATTAGCAATAGGTATTTTAATTTATGATATATATATATATATATATATATATATATATATATATATATATATATATATATATATATATATATATATTACATAATAAAAATACTATAATAAAAAGATGTCTATCATATTTATTAAATATTATTGCAAAAAAATCTGTTACTCAGACAGCAAAAAAAGCACTTTTAGGAAACATTGATTATTCAAAGTTACCCTGATTTGGGTTATATTTTAGCTAAGTAAAAATAAATATCCTTTTAGCAGCAAAAAGCATGTAATTTCCTATTACTTTGAGTTTTTATTAAAATTCGAAAAATAATTCAATAAAATACTAGAAAATCTATTCTGATATTTACAATATAGTAACAAATATTCTAAATTGACAACACACGATATTATCACCACATTCGACTGTGTAACTGGAAATCGAGGGGGAAAATATTTTTGAGAAACAAAATTTAATTATCTATGGTCAAACTTTTGTAAAAAAGGATAATTTATCATATTATCCTTTGTTAAAGCAACAGGCAAAGAAAATACCAAAGAAAAAAAAATTTAAAAACATTTACACGTTTTATTCAATGTTACACGCAAATTCAAAGTTACCCAGAATGACTGTATCGTAAATTTTAAAATATTTTTTTTTATGGACTTACATGGAAACATGCATAAACTTGAATGTTTTCAAACATCTTAGTGCGGAAAAATAAAAAAAGAATATTCGCGAACACAAAAAACCCGCCAAATCTACAAACAACTAATTCTATTGGTTCAAAAAATACTAACCGAAATTTCTAGAGTATTCAAAAAATACTAACCAAATCCTGAGTATTCTGTTGAAATATTTTTAAAAATATTATTTTTTGAATTTTGTTGCATTTTTGTTGAGATTTCTAGCATAAATTATTTTAAGAATATACTATCAAACAAACTATTATTTTAATTCTTGGAGTCACATCTAGAAAGCTATAAATGTTTTAAACTATCATTATTTGGTTACAACAATAAATGTTTTAAATTTATATTTTTTAACTTGTCAATGGTTTGTAAATATATTATAGATTTTATTAGTATATTCTTTTTTATATATATAAATAAGGGATGTATTTTTTATGTATGTAATGTATTTTTAATTATGTAATTTTATGTATGTGTACAAGGGCGGCGCAATAGGGGGTGCAGGGTGTGTGCCCCCCTCCCTATCAATGATTTTTAGTCGGCAAGTTGGACCCTTTTAGACTAGTTAGTTGGCAAATATCGATCCTTTCAATATAGGTTAGTTGGTAATCTAGGCAGTCAGCAAATTTTGGAAAACGAGGACTTTTTTTTTTTTTTTGTCTGCAAAAGTTTTAATGACACACCACCCCCCACCCCCACGTAACACCTACTCACGCCGGCCCTGTATGTGTATTTTGTTCAAATGTAATCATTTAATGCAATTTGTGCTATTGTTTTTGTAAACAAAAATACTTTCAATAATAACTGTGTTTTCAATGAAATTATTAATAATCGTCAAAATTAATACAGAAAATTTTAACCACTAATCCATTTTTCTCAGTGTACCCGATAATTGATTCTTTCTCCCAAGAAAGAAAAGTTTTTAAGTTCTTAGAAATTGGTTTACTAACTTCAATTATTTTTGCCTCAGCCATTCCTTCAAACTCGTTATACTTTTTTAGTTACTTTTTTTGTTTTAAATACTAATTAAAAATATAAAGCCCACTCACTAAACATCACCAGCAGTATTTGAAGCAGTTCCACTTCCTTCTCACAAATTAATTTAACTTTTTTTGTTAATTTCTACTTAGCTAATTGAATTTATACAGTAACTCAATGATATTATTATTTCATTTGTTTATCTCACTAAGTAGAATTGTTTCAAATGTGTTGAACTTTTTAAACTACGTGAAGCATAAAACAGCTATTAAAAAAAACGTTTTTATTTATAAATAAATCTATGGTTAATCTTGTTGGACTTCTCTGGGCCGGGGGCTGCATTATTTTAGCGGCCGTTTTATGTGCCACAGCATAAAAATGACTAAAAAAAATACCGAATGATTCTCTTGACTATTTCTCCTAACATTGTGAGTCCTGGGGCTATAGCCCTACTGCCCCCACCTCACCTCCTCAATCCAGCACTGGAAATAAGACATAAGTATATAAATAAAAATTATATATACTCTTTGATAAATTGAAGAACATTTGTTTCTTTATAGTTGTTACTTTATATAAAAAATGTTGCTTCAAAAATAAATTTATTTTGCTCTAATAAATTTATTTTGCTTAAAGTTTTTTCGCGTTAAAAGCTATTTTTCTTTTTTTAACTGTCTCTCATCGGTCCAGTTAATTTTAATGCGCTTTTTTGTTTGTTTTTGAAATGTTCTCTAAACGACTAAAAAATCTGGCCGGTTTTTCGCAACTAAATAATATTTCCGTGGTCATTTATCGAGTGCGATCGCACCCGCTTCCCGACCAAGCCTGTACTATCAATAAGCACTTAAAATTCTTTATTAATTTATTAATAATTTACATATCTAAACAACAATCATATATTACTTAGATATCTAAATTATTTTCAGATAATTATTTTTTGTGATGTTCGATCCCCACCACATCCCTGGTAGCACCGGGCTCGGCTTTAACCTGATTTATACGTATTTACTTTTTTATATAAATCATAAAAAAGTAAATACGTATAAATCAGGTTAAAGGTAAAAAATCAATTATTAGATCACTTGTTTTGGTGTATAGTAAGGTTAGCATTTAAACAGCAAAGTATACCTTTAAAATCCAAATTTTCTTATAGAGAATAATATGGTTTGTTAATATACAAGTGATTTATATCATCAGCCAATAAATAAACTAATGAGAAGTGAACAGAATTGTTTATATGATTGACATATATTAAAGAAAATAGGACTAAAAGCAGAATCTTGAAGGGCATAGCTCAACAGAATCTTGAAGAGCACAGCAAATTTGTTACCAGATTTAAGACCATTAATACTTGCATTATCAGCAAGCAAATTAATTGAATTAACAGTGTTGTTTAGATTGTTATCATATTAAGAGAACCAAAAACAGAACACCACACAAATGTATATTTATTAAAAGAGTTAAAACCATTACTTCTAAATTGTTTCCAATATGAAAGATAAAATTGAAACAAAATAGTAATGTTCTATATTAGGAATGAAAATGTCTTGATCAGTGATATAAAAAGCTTTTTATAAATTAATAAGAAATAAAGAACTTTTCCGATTTTAAATATGTTCATACTCACTAGTTCATGAAAAATATTCATTAGAATTTTTAATCTTAACATTTTCTTTGGAAAAGATTGCATACTTAAATAAATTATATAATGTTGGATGGTAAAATAAAACTTTCTTCAGTTAATTATGCTATTTGTTCCCGAATGACAACATTTGTAGCAGTGACATCTGCATCTTTGCATCTGTAGCAGTGACAACAAATTTTCATGTGCATATTGAAGGCACCCTATGTTATAATTGACTCTTCTGAAATGCGGTAAAGCAGTAGTGGTAGTAAGAATACTAGCATTACATACTTTCTTTAATAACTATCTTTAGCAGTACTTTACTCATCCTTTCCACTGCAGTTTAATCATCAAGGTTTGAGTTTCAGAGTTTTGAGATTTGAGGGTTATAAATATAAATGAAATTCCTTGAATTAAGCATGAAAAATTAGTTTTTCAACAGCGAAAAAAAACAACTAAAAATGCAAGAAAATAAAAACATTAAGTTATAAAGCCACATAGTAAATGGACAAGATGCCAAGGTCAATAAATGCTGGTTTTGAGAACATCATATTTTGTACTTTAGTGTTTATGTTTTATATGCAAATGTTCAAATATAATAAATTAATAATAATACTTTAATTTAACATAGTTATATTAGAATTTCTAAAAACAAAAAAATATGATAATAATAAAAAAAGTTTAGTTATCTAAGAATAAAATGAATGTTTTTTTTTTTTTATATAGGCAGGAAGAATTAATGCATATGATGATATAGCTAAAAAATTCATAAGCTCAACAGTAAGTAACATTTACTTTTGTAACTCTAAAATGGTTGTTTTAACTAAATTTTTTAATTTTGAATGTGTTAATATTTAGGGCGATCGCAATTCTTTAATTGCTGAAATTGAAACAGCAAATGCTGATGAGGCTGACTCTGAGTAAGTAATGGTTTAAACTTTGTTTTTGTTTTATTTTATTTTTTATCAGTTCCTATAATTTTCAGCAGTTATAATATAACATTTGAAACCTTTTTTTTTAATAATAATACTTGCTAAAAGTTAGATCATTAACAATTAAATAAAAGTTTAACTTATTTCAAACTAATTTTATTAGGCACAAGCAATCTGGAGATTATTATGTTAAGGTCATGAAAACTATATTAGAAAAAGGAGATGACTATCCAAAGAATGAAATTGCTAGACTAACTAGAGTTCTCGGTATTATTGCTAATCTATATATTTTTATGCTTATTTGTTTATTTTCCTATTTATAATTGTCTGTTAAATGTCAGTATTTTGTTAGTATGCTAATGAAAAACCATTTAAAATTAAATTATGATTTTTATATTTTTTAACAATTTCAAACAAGATTCTATTAAAGGCTATATAAAAAGAACGCTATATAACCGAATGTTTTTATTTTAAAACCGTTAAAAAGTTGTATAAAATGACTATTCAACTTTTTTTTAATTTTTTTTTTTTAATTTTTTTTTGTATTACAAAATGTTGAAATAAGATCGATTGCTAAACTTCTTAATTCGGCTCATGAACTAATTGCAACTATAATCTTCTATAGTAGAAAAATTTCGATTTCTGTTAGAAATTTTAACTAGGTTTTTAATATTTTAAACAACTATTTATACTATCGTTAAAATTCCATTTTTTTTCTTTAGGAGGAAATATGAGTGCTGCCAAAATGGATTTAATGCATAAACGAAAAAATATTTTAAGTCAATTCGTTCGAGAAAAAGAAGAGTTGTAAATCTTGTGAATTTTTGATAAATATAAAACTTCAAACTAGTATTTTTTTATTATATGCAATTTTTTTTATATCGCTAAATCCCAGTGATATAAAATTCACTTGTTGGTTATTAACTATTCATACCTTCCGAAATTTTTGTAATAATTTTCGCTTGTTAGAAGTTTTTTTTTTAGAAAATTATGTTTTGTAGTGACTACCTAGCGTGATTTTTTGTTGTTGTTGTTTGTTTTATTGATTTTTAAGCATCATTTTGCATCTAAACTGTTACAAGAAAAATGTTAATTGCAGAAGATATTTTTCATTTTTAGTTTTTTATTGAGCTTTCTTTTTAGACTATAATTAACATGGATTATCCTCAAGCTTTTGTGTCTATTGTAGTTTTTTGCATATATATTTTCGTCGGTGTGCCAGTTTGGTGGAATACAACAAAAGTATATAGAGCATCTTTACCTAATGAAAAAATTAACGTGTTGCAAAATGCATCTATTAAATTGCATATTCGTTTAAATATTCAGAGTAGTGTTTACGAAGAATCCGAGCTTAAAGAGGTAGCCGCTATCGTTTCGGCTGAATCAATTAACGATCAAGTTATATGGAGTGTTAATGTTGCTATAGCGCAAACAAACGCTAGAGAAAAATATTGTGAACAATACGAAAATTCATCTGAATTAACATACAATATTTTTATTGATCAGAACCATTTAAACAAAAAATTTATAAAAATATATTGCCAAACAACTTTAAGTGTTATAATATCACTTTCCGAAAAAATATCTTCATCAAATTTGGGACAGATAGTTCGTGAAACGATAGACGATCTTACTCGAAATAGTTATTTCCTATCAAACAAATCTTCGCTAAGCTACAATAATCCTATGCCTCCTTCATCAGGCTACCATATAACTTTTACTTTAGCTGTTTCTAATCCTGCTGATTTCTTGCCTTTTTGGGATATTGAAGTTTCCATAAACAATTATTTGAAGCCAATGCTTCAAAAATTTAATTTTCTCGGACCATTCAAAGTTTCATCTCAAATTTTGTACTATGTTGACCTTGGTGTAAATCCATTCGTCGGTAACGATTCTTTTTATTTTAGAGAAAGCAAGCTACCACAACTGATTAATCCTATAGAGTCAAGATTAGCATCATACGTCAATACAGATCCTATCCTAAATTTTGTTATTTACGTGCCACCTAAAAAATATTCTCCTTTGCACATCCGTAAGTCAAAAAACTCTAAAGTTGGTAAAATCAGTTCCTTTTATAGTCCGAGATGGGGGGGAATAGCTATATATAATCCAACTAAAGTTAACGAGCAAATAATTACACGAGATTATATGGGAGTTTTTATCGAGCAGTTTAAATTATTAGTAGGTATTAAATCATATTTTACCGATAATAATGAGATTTTTTCTCGAGTTAATCTATTAATCGAGAAAACGTTTGAAAACATACGTACTTGTTTATCGACTATATCTTCGTTGTCAAAACTTCTTGATAAAATAGCAAATATTGTTATAAAGGATGAAATTAAAGAATTAGTTGATGTAGCTGTTCTAAATGTCGAGCGCAGTATTTCTTTTTTACGTGTTGGAGATATTGAAAACGCTCATTTAACTTCTAAAGAAGCTTTTCGTTGTTCAGAGAAAGCATTTTATGACTCTTCTTTGCTAGCACTGCTTTACTTTCCAGATGATCAAAAGTATGCTATATATGTCCCTCTATTTTTGCCTATTTCTTTGCCAGTAATAATGTCCTTTTTTCGAGCTGTAAAATCATTCTTCAAGTACCAAAAAAAAGATGTATAAATATATATAAATCAATAAATATGCTAAAGATCTATTTAAAAGTATAAATGCGGTAATAGTTTCTTATATTGCGAGTTCAATTTTTTTATAAATTTGATGTAAGTTTTGATATGTTAATTGCCATGAGTTAAATCTACTGACAAGACGCATTTTAGTTTCGTTCTTTGCGAATTATTTGCTCTGCATTAATATTATTTACTATGAAGATCGTTTTATGAATCATAAATGACTTTGTAAACATTAATAGCTTATTCTTTATAACTATTTTGATGTTAGCTTCGTTGAAATAATGTTTTGTGGTCTATAATCTTTCAAAAAACACTCCAGTTAATGCATTAGTAGTTAACAAATTTTGATTTGTTTTACATTTAATGACTAAAGTGCAGTCGTCGCTAATAATAATAAGATGATCCGGATTTGACTGATTTTCGTTCAAGAATGAATAACCAAGATCGCCGCTATATGAAGATGTTAAAACTGACTTTAGTTGCTAAAACATCAGCTTTCATAATTTGTAAATGGTACTACTGGATTTCGCACAATTCTTGTTATATTGATTATGGTTTACTTAAAATAGGCGTCAGAGCCCAGATGCTGTTCTAGATCCACGAAATTCTTATCCTATACACTACGTTAATTTTTTAAAACTGTTTTTCTCAACTTTGGCAATACTTAGTAACCAATGCTAAAAATTATCCTTATTCGTAGGTTCAACGTAATCAATAACACTCGAGGCTCTACCCAGCCTTATGGTTGGGTGAAGTGGAGAACAACAAATTTTTTAAATGTTTTGGAGAAAGCATTTCTGGAAGTTTTTATCAATATTGGTCTTAGCTAATCTTAAATTTTATTAGGATATTAGTAGGCCTTGTGGTTTTCCGGTTTATCAACCTCTTTAGCTGTGACTGTTTGCATTTTCCAATTAGATTTCGTCATTTCGCAGATATCCAGCTGCTAAATTATCAAACAACAACTTGATAAGATGTTCCTGATATAAGTCCGGTATTTAGTTTATCATTTTAACTAAAACTTTCTTATTTTTGCCATTGGTAAAAGACATTTCCATAGACGAGAGAAAGTTATTTAAAATGCCCCAATAAATCGTTAATTTTATTTCTCCTCAACATGAATTGAGTTGATAGTAGCTTTTTGGTATTGTCTAGTTTGACAATACCAAAAAGAATTTTTTTTATTTTGACAATACCAGTAACTTTAAAAAAAAAAAAAAGATTTAAGAATAAAAGAAGTAGTTAAAGGTTTGAGTTACATTTGTTTGTTTGATTTGTTATTGTTGCTAATAGGAAGTAGTGACGTAGCGAGGCTCAATACTGGTTGGAAGCATGTTGTTCTAATTATTTTTTAAATGGTTTAAGGAAAAAGACTGATAGATTTGTTAATGTTATTGGCTTTTTTTATGTGAAGTGCTAAGTTAATGTAAAAAAATTCTAGGATAAAAGTATCCATATCCAATTTTTAAAGTTTCTGAGTGTTTTTATCAAGTAGGATTACTAAGAGAAAACAAATTGTGTCATGTAGTTAAAAACTGAAATATTAAGGTTGCCAAAGGTTATTTTATGAGTGAAAAAATTCATAAGAATCATCAATATGGGTTTTAGTGTCTGCAATTACGTGTTGGAAGAGTTACGGTAGAAATAAAGAATAAGAACAAAGATTCAAAATAAATAGGGAATAAGTTAGGGGTGCACCGATGCCTATTTTTGACGAATGCCGATTGGTACAGGTCCATTCCGATGCATCGACCATTCAAATTCGTAACCTTTTTTTTTACTAATAGGTAAATTAGAATTTTTTTTCAAATGTATAAATAATGCTTAGTTGCTTTGCTCATTATTCTATTTAATTTTATTTCCAAGTTTATTCCTTGAATATAGTTACAAATATATATATATATATATATATATATATATATATATATATATATATACACACACATATATATATATACACACATATATATATATATATATTTCAAACTATTTACTAGGAATTAAACTTTGAAATAAAATTAAATAAGAAATCAACGATGAGCAAAGCAACTGAAAGTCTAATAGACTATTTTTATATAAATGAAAATAAACTTTTAAAGTAATTTGTAAGTTTTGCAAAATACCAATAAGAGAAACATCTGGGAGTATTTTTTAAAATTTTTCATTTTACGTTACATTTACATTTCTTAATTTTAAACTTATCTCTTTGTATAGTTTAGATCCATAAGTCATATTATTGCTTTCCTGATTTATAAAAAAACACTAAATGCGTTTTTTATCAGTTCATGATAAAAAACAGCTCAAAAAATATTTCAAAGATTTACTTAGGTTTATACGCTCATTTTCGTTTATGGAATAATTATATTTTTGCATATAAAATAGAAACATAAAGATAAAAAAACTGATTTTTCGAAACAATCAGCATTGCCTGATGTTACCAAGACCGATGCATCGGTGCACTCCTAGAATAAATAAAAATAAAAACAACTTATGACTCAATATTCAACAAATGTGTTTAAATTGCTCTATGGTTTTCTATTTGTAACTTTACTTAATTCTCAACTAAAGAATTCAAAATGGCTTAAAAGATTCAATAAGAAATCCATGGTTTGCAAAGATGTCTTTCCAACAAAGCAAAGATTGAGTTTGACAACAACACAGAGCTTTGTCTTGACATAAAAACTTGATGGAATTCTTTAAAAACTATGGTTATACCCTCTTGATAAGTATCAAGATTTTATCTGAATTTAAGAAGTTAGAAAAAAAAAATTAGATTTTTCTTTTTTTAAAAGCAGAAAAGTCTATTTTTTTGTTTGTTTGATTTGATCAATTGCTTTGAAAATTATTTTAAAAAAATACATCTCAAGGAAATAGAACCTGTTAAATTAGCTGATTTTAATTATACATTATAATTACTATTACATCGCATATAAATTTTTTTGATTTGAATAATGATATCATTAATAAACTAGTTGAAAATTCATGTAGACGAGCAAACAAGTATGGAGTTACTTCAAAGTTGTTTAAAAGTCTAAAGTCTAAAGCAGTCAAATGTCATTCTTACTCTTGCCGGGAAGGGGTATTCAAAATAAAAGTTATGCTTTTTTAGAACATCTATAATCAGACAGGAAACACGAAAAACTATATGATGTAATACTTTACATCAAACCACCGGCAAATTAAAGGATGTTAAATGTGTATTCTCAAATGGCACAAATTTTTGTAATAAATATGATTGCGGGTAAAAGATTACTACATCTGTGGAGTAGTCCAAGATCATCTGTACACTTTGGTGCAAGATCTTCTGTATTTTTTGTTTGCTCTAATAATATATGTCCAATATCTGAAAGTTCATCGATCCCTAACAACATCTTTAGAAAGATGTAACTACATCTGGTAATTTTTCTCCAAGTCTAATAACAACTGGAAGAATTTTTTCCAGATGTAGTTACATCTGAAAAAAATTCTATAGCATCTGTGTAGTAACATCTGGTTAAAATAATGCATTATTAGTTAATTCATCTTAAAAACAACTTCATCTTAAAATCTGTAGATGTAGCTGCACAGATGTTATTATACTTTGATAATTTAAAAGATGTAACTACATCTGTAATCTTCATTTAATTTTTGCACAGATGTTATTAGACACCAATGAAACCTCAGATGTTCTTAGACAGATGTTATTATACCTCATTATATTTACAGAAGTTTTTGGACAGATGTTATTAGACATGGCAAAAAATAATGTTATTACCCTGAACCTGATTGCGTCTCTCCAATTAATCACCTACAGCGCTTTTGTTTTTAAAACTTTATTATAAAAAGCCAAAATGTTTTGATTAAAAACTACTTTATCATATTAGTGATAGGATAAATATAATATTAACGTAAAACTAAATAATATAAAATGTAATATAATGCTATATAATATAATGTTATAAAATATCATTTAAAATTATATAATATAAAATGTAATGTAATGTTACATAGTATAATGTAAAATTATATATTATAAAATGAAGAAACAATTAGTAATTATTACTAACTAGAAAGTTCCATGGCGCTTGTGAAGTCCCTCTTTAGCAACAAATAACATTTATTTTAAAAAGTGAAGTAAAGCCAGAAAAACCTAAAAAATGTAGATACAACTTTTTTTTTACTTTTTGTTTCAGGTGCCCTAAGCAATGTTTATTTATGATTTTTTTTTTTTAAGTTGACTAAGGTGCCCCAAGAAGTCCTTACGGTCTTATCACAGAGCACCGCGAAAGAGCATTTAAAGGGAAGTTCACGCCTCCTTCCCAACCGATGTCGCAAAACTTGCCCAGAGGTGGGGTTTGAACCACGGGTCTTACGTTTCTGAAGCAAGTGCGCTACCACTGCGCCACGGCTGCATGATTATACTTCAAAGATCTAATACTTCAAAGATCTTATACTTATGATTATACTTTAAAGATTGATTATAATTGATTATATGATTATAAGTTTCAAAAACTGTATTAAGGTTGACTTTGTGGTAATCCGAATTTACCTTTTTTTTTATCTTTGGTTTCTTTAATTCCATCGATTCTTAGATTAATTCCCCGTCTTCAATCTTCCAGTTTGTTATTTGATTCAACAAGTTAAAATTCGTTGTTTTGGACTAAAAACAATAACGGTCTTAATTTTTTCATCTGTTAGATATTTATAAAAATTTAGGCTCACATATCATCAACGCTTTTATTAATTTTATACTATTTTCATTGGCTACTATTTTCATTTATATTTGGTTCAACTTTGTCCAATCCTTCGTATAAATTTTAAAAAAGTATAAATTACTCCATCGATTCAATAGAGTAAAAGAAATTGCAGGGAAGAAGTGATATCACATAAATATGAACTCACTTGTGGCACACTCACTTGTGACGCATTTGGTGAATGAATTTAAAAACTACCAGTGTAATTTGTATGAACGCTGCCAATGAGTTCATACCTCTAATGGTAATATTTAAACGGGTAGGGATGAACGGCTGATAAAAAAAAAGGACCGGCAATGGGTACTGTATTTGGATGCTAAAAAAATGGGCTATTAATAATAATTTTATCAAGTGCACAAAGTCAAAAAAGAGCAAAAAAATGTATGTACGTCGTCTTTTGTTTAGACATACCCATACAAAAAGTATTCAAGCCATAAACCAAGTAAGTATGGCATTATAATGTTATCTTTTTGTGCTTATACAAGTCACTTTTTCCAAACTTAATACAAATCATTTTTTTAAATCTCTGAAAAGCAATTGCTGCATAGCCTCCTTTCCTTGAATAAGATTGAATTCCGATAACACAATTAACAAACTAATGTTTAAGAACTATCAGACATTCAATTCATTCAAATTTAGTTTGTATGCACATGCTTTAAATGGTTTTAAGTCTGTAGGTATTTGGCCACCTGCACTTGCAATTGAAGAATCTTTACACACTTCTTCGCTGGGCATTAGTAATTGAGAAGATCTTTATGAAGTGATTACACAAGAAATTGAATAAATCCACAATGAAATAATAGATGTCTATTAGCTAACTAAAGCAGAAATTAAATGTGTTACCTTCTATTCCAATAATAAAGCAAATAAAAGAGTTCTGAGGAACCTGCTCTAACTTTAACAATATATTTTTTTTAATTCTATTTTTAGATGCCCCAAGAAGACCTAACGGTCTTGTCACAGAGCACCGCGTAAGTGCATTTAACTAGGAAGTTCACGCCTCCTTCCTTACCATGACACAAAAATTGACAATATAATGTCAACGCAGAATAAATAAAACATAAAAAATGCTGAAAATAAAAGAAACAGTTATTAACCCTTTTTAGGCAGGTACTACAAACAAGTACTTTTTGTAATGCATATGGATAATTACAGTATTAACACTTGTAAAATACTTTTATAATATCGGACAAAAAGATATTTGCAATATTTGAACAAAAAGAGGACCATCAAACACACCCTGTTGTAACTGGTTGGCGAGGTGAACCATCTAAAATAACAAAGTACTGTGAAAAAGTTATTGACTTTCAACCGACAAATAACGACTTAAGTACGAAAAGAGAAATTGGACAAGACTTATGGACGTACTTATCTAGAGTGCCAATTCCTGTCTTCTCGGGAGATAAAACGCAATAAGAAAATTGGAAAGCAGCGTTCAAAGCATATATTTATAGGACTCCAGCTACACCGGAATATAAACTCTTGGAACTACGCCAGTACTTATCAGGAGAAGCTTTAAAAGTTGTTGAAAAGTTTAGGGTATTCAAAAGCTGCCTACAAAGCTGCAAAAGATCAACTCGAAAGAAAGTATGGGGGCAAACGACGACAAATTGCTTTGTATTTGGAGAGAGTGGAAAACTTTAGTCCAGTAAAACCAAACAACCCAAATGATCTTGAAAACTTTGCTAATATGTTGGACGTTGCAGTCATAAATTTAAAAGAATTGGGAAAATTCGAAGAGTTAGCAGATGACTCTACATTAAACTTAACCAAAAACAATGTTAAGTGTATTTTTGCGATTTACTATTTGAAAAGCAAAAAAGTCCTGGAGTGGAATCATTGCGTGAATGGGTTATTTAAGAAATGGAGTTTTAAGGAAACCTTATGTGATTTGGAAGATGCAAAGTATAATCAAGAAAACCCTTTAAAAACTTTAAAAAAAAACAAAGAACATACTTTGGAGAAAACTCAAGGACAATGTAACAAAAATGTGCAAAATTTGTGATGATAAACATGCAATTTGGGAATGCGAAAAGTTCAAATCCATGGCAGTAAGTAAAAGATGGGAACAAGCAAAGTTTCATCATCTATTTTATTGTTGTTTAGGTAATGATCATGTTGGAAACAAATGCTAGAAACCAAGAAAATGTGGAACAGATGGTTGTCAGGAAGTTCATAACAGACTATTGCATTTAAAGAAACGAACGAAAAAAATGAAGAAACAATTCTTCTTACCAAGTTTTCACGCAAAGATCAAAGTCAAGATGTGGCTATGAGAACTTTACCTGTCGTTTTAACAAATGGGAAACTGTTGATAAAAGTTAACGCTCTATTGGATGATGCTAGTACCCAAACTTATATAAACAGAGATGTAGCTGCAGAACTTGGATTACAAGGATTAATGAAAGAAATTACAATTAGTGTACTCAATGGTAGAGTAAACACATTTCAAACAATGCCGGTTGAATTTCAGTTACAAAGCATTGGTGGTAAATTGAAAAAGAAGATAAATGCATTAACAGTTGATAGAGTTAAGAGTAACATGTAAGTGGTGGATTGGAATAAATATAAAAAACCATTGGAGTCATCTAAAAACTATACTATTTCGCAGATTGGGACAGCAACCGATCGTAGATATTCTTATTGGATTGGATAACGCTGAGCTTCACTCATCAAAAACAGAAATTAAAGTGCGCACTGGAAATCTAATAGCACAACTTACGCCACTAGGATGGACATGTGTTGGGGCGCTTGGACGTACTCAAAGTTATTATAATTGCCACACCAGGATGTTAACTAAAAACATTTTCGAAGTTAAAAAATTAATGAAATACTAAAAACATTTTGGGAAATCAAAAATGTTCATCCAACATCAGAAATGCAAGCTGGAAGTATTGAAGATAAAAAGGCCCTATATCAAGCGGAATATTTGTTAAATTATGTGGATGGGCGATATCAAGTTGGCATTTCTTGAAAAGAGGATCCAAAATTGTTACCAAACAACTTTGAAATGGCAGTAAATTGGTTAATAAGTACGGAAAAACGGCTTAAAAGAACACCGGAGGTGATGGAGATTTATAAAGAAACAATACGGAACTACTTAACAAAAGGTTATATCAAAAAAGTAAGCAAAAATGTTTACAAAAATCAATGGATCCTCCCACATTTCAGCGTTGTAAAGTTGGAAAAGGAGTTCACAAAAATCAGAATCGTTTTCGACGCTGCTGCAAAATGCCAAGGTGTTTCGCTGAATGACGTCATCCATCAAGGACCAAAACTGCAAAGAGATCTTTGTGTCGTTCTGTTGCGGTTCTGAAGAAACACAGTCGCTTTGCTGGGTAATATCACAGAGATGTACTTGCAAATTGAGCTGAATCCGAAAGATCGAAGATACCACAGATTTCTTTGGCATGATCTAGAAAAAAATAAAAACCCTGAGTTATTTGAATCTACTTGAGTTGTATTTGATGTCAATTCCAGCCCTTTTAAAACACAGTTTGTTATGCAAAAACATGCAGAGAAATATAAAGAGAAGTTTCCACTGGCTGCGGAGACTGTTGATAAGTCTACATATATGGATGACAGCATGGATTCAGTTGAAACCGAAGGAAAAGCAATTGAACTATATAATTAACTTTCATAACTGTGGAAAAAAGCGGAAATGTCCGCAAGAAAATGGCTTTCTAATTCAAATTCAGTGATGGAATGCATTCCTATTGAAGCCAGAGCAGCAAAAAAAAAAACATAAACATAGAGAACTTACCTACAGTGAAAACACTGGGCGTATCTTGGGAAGCAGCCAAAGATATGTTTACATTTAGTTACACTCTACCATCAGAACCAGTTACGAGTAAACGACTGCTCTTAAAGTACATCTCAAAACTCTTCGATTCACTTAGATTCTTGTCTCCTTTCGTTATTTGAGCAAAAATATTATTTCAAGAACTATGGACGTCAGAAGAAGATTGGTATGAAACGCTACCAGACAAAATAAAACAAAACTCGGATATCTGGTTTAGCGAACTGACAAGTATTCACCAAAGTAAAATACCACGCTGTTTACGTATTAAAAAATGATAAAATCATTTATTAAAATCTTCACGCATTTGTTGACGCTTCACAAATTGCTTTTGAAACAATATGTTATTTAGTTCATAGTTATGAATTTGGTGGAACGTCAAGTTCTTTTGTTTCGTCAAAAACTCGTGTCGCCCCATTAAATTCAGTTAGCATTCCAAGATTGGAGTTAATGAATGCAGTATTAGGATTGAAACTTGCGCTCTCCGTCATAGAAGCTTTGCCTTGCACAATAAAAATGGAGAATGTTATATTCTGGTCGGATAGTTTGAATACGTTATCGTGGATTAAAAATCCAAGTAGAAAATTTGAGACCTTCGTTGCAAACAGAGTTGGAGGAATCCAGTCTCATTCAAAAAACTTGTGGTGGACTGGGCCTGATTTCATCCAACAAGAGGAATCCCAATGGCCAACAAAGGAATTTAAAGAAATCGAATACAAATTAATTCTAGAAGTAAAAAATATGGCTATTAAATCCGAAAAAAATAGCGATAGCTGGCGTTTGGAACCAATTCGCCACCCAAGTTGGAGAAGGTTAACACAAATTTTAGCCTGGGTACGAAGGTTCCAACATAACTGTTTTAAAAAATGTTTATCATCAGTAACACTCTCAACGGAAGAAGTTAATGATGCAGAAATAGAATTAATTATAAATGCTCAAAAAAGAACATATGCACAATCAGTTGATAAATAATAAAGGAATTTCAAAAACTAGTTGCTTATTAAAATTATTGCCACGAATAGATGTTATAAAATGTTAAGATGCGACAGTCAATTAAAAAATGCTGAGTTTCTCTCATTCAATACAAGATGCCCAATTATTTTGCCGAAACATAACCACATAGCAAATTTGATCGTTAAAGATTGTCACGAAGCAAGACAATCTTTTTTTGTGGTGTAAATCATATCTTGGCGGAGTTGTCTACAAAGTAATGGGTAGTATCTGGAAGAGAAAAGGTAAAAAATGGGAAGCGGAGTGTGCAGGATGCAAGCGAAGAAAAGCATAGTCAGTAACGCAGATAATGGCACAATTACCAACAAAATGTTTGCAGTTTAGTATGAAGGCCTTTGAAAGGTGAGCTGTTGATTATGGTTGTTTGCTCATAACCATTCAAGGAAGAGGGAAAAAAAAACGTCATTTAGTCTTGTTAATTTGCTTGTCTTCACAAGCAGTTCACCTTGAAGTAGCGTTTGCCTTGGACACCGACTCATTTCTAAATGCGTTTTTTAGGATAAGCAGTCGAAGAGGAACGCCAAAAGAAATGATATCGGACAATGGAGGTAACTTTGTTTTAATAAACAAAGAGCTACGAAGTTTTACTGATGGCGAAAAGAAAAGAATAAACGATGCAACAAGCCATGTTGGTATTAAATGGCATTTTAACCCACCAGCAGCCCCTCATTTCGGAGAAGTTCATAAAATCATGATAAAAGCCGCAAAACGAACATTTTGTCCCCACTGGAAAATGCAGATATTACCGACGAAGAACTTATTACAGCGTTTGCCGGGGCAGAAGGACTTATAAACTCATGACAATTGACTTATCAATCGAGTTGTGCCCTCTCGAGCCGAATAAACCAGAAGATGTTGACCATTTGGTCAAAAGGGAGGAGTATGTTCACGAGGCGATTAGTGTAAATAGTAGTTTAATGTAAATAATATATGTTTGTATTATAAACGTTTATATTGAATTGTATTATAAACGTCTCTAAGCGTCATATATTAACGTTAGAGATTTCTTTAGTTAATGAGGCAATTAGCGAATTTTGTATATAGATCATTATAAAGTTAGAAAATACCTATAATATCTCTCATGGGGAAATATTATATGGTATAAATAATCGTGTATGAATTTATAAAAGAGGCGTTTTTTTGAGTTAGCTATTAACGTTCTAATCGAAATATACAATGTTGAAATAAGTCAGGTATTATTATTGAGTTTAATACGCCATACGTGCTTTTACACAAACAGCCTTCCCTTTACTTAAATAACTGAAAAATCTATCTTTTGTTGTTGGCAAAACAAAGAACATTATATAGTAAATCTTTATAATGTTCTTTGTTTTATGTTTAAATGTAAAACCAACTCATCTCCAGCTTCCTTTTTTGATTTATATTCTTTAAAAGAAAAAAATAAATATTCTTTAAGAAATGATAATTTTATTAAACAACCAAAATTTCAAATAAACTTTAGTAAATTTTGCATTTCTTTTCGTGGAGCTTTTTTATGGAACCAAATAATTTTAAAAAATTTTGATTTTTCTCATGAATGGAACTATTATATGTTTAAAAAGAAAACTAAAAAAAGTAATTTTCTCAATTGAAAATATATTTATATACTTTTAATTATACCCAGTTTTGTCATCACCCATTTATATTTTACTTTTATACAATATTGATTTAAAGTTTATGTGAGAAACTACATTTAAACACCATTATTTGAATTTTGTTAAAAGTTGCATTGACATTATTTGTAGTCATTTATTATTTACTTGTTTACTTTAATTTTTTTTTTAGTTCGTAGTATTTGTAAATAATTTACAACTTAAATAAATTTACACATTGTTACGTTATAACTACATAACATAATATAATCCCACGTAAAAATATAAGATAATAATATCACGTATACCATAGCATAATAAAAATTGGTTTAATAAGTATAACTAAGTATAGCGTAAATTAATAGTGTTTCTTATTATAAAAATTACCAATATTTAAAAATTAAAAAATAAAAGAATAAAAATAAGGCAAGAAATTTTTTGGTACTTCAGATATGTACATGTTGTTGTAAAGGAAAACTGGTAGAAGTCTATGAAGACTTATCATCGAGTACCTCTTTAAATGGTTAAATAAAGTCTATTTTATTTTTATATATAGTGGTTAAACAATATACAGTCAGTAATACACATAAGTATTTTTACACATAAATATTTTTATTTTAAAAATTTTAAAAGAGAAAGAGGATCTCTTTTTCTTTTAAACAAATATATTAAGGAATAAATATTTATTACCCAAAGATGGCTTAACTATGAAAACATTTATGATTTGATTAATACAAACACACATTTCTACTATACTTTTGGCCACAATTTGACTTAATTGGTTGCACTGTTATTGGAAATAAATTTATTTTTGCAAAGTTACAATTTTGTTTCAATCAACTGGTTCCCTAAATTGGAACACTTTGATTTCTTCATTAGAACAGGTTATTTTTTTAAAAGAAAAAATCCAGTAAAATCAACAAAAATTTGTAAAAAATGATTTTCATCTTTACAGTGAAAATTTAAATAGTTAAATCAAAACTTATTATAGGATTAGTATTACCCTGAGAAATTTAAAGTCTACAAACAAAAAATTGTATAAACCTTCTATTGTTATGACGTTCTCTAAATTTATTGATTAAAAGTCACTAAATAAAGTATTATTTTTAAGGTTTATGGTTGTTACTAAGTATTTTTTAAATTGCACTCGAACTACTTTTTTATAACCCTTTGCCTTTGTTATTTTGCCTTTTAAATCCCATCGAATTAAACACAAAAAACGGTATAACCTGTGGCACCATAGTTTACCCAGCGCAATCAATATAGTGTGAACACAAAATTAGATCGCTGAAAAAAAATGACGCAAAAAACTTTAAGTCAATGGTGCAAACGCATTTTTTGAGGAATAACTTTCAAATTGTGTTAAAACGTAGAAAATAATGCGTATTACTAAAAAAATGCAAAATATAGCCATAATTCATTTTTTTTTCAAAAATAAATGCAAGTGTTCCAATTAAGGCGCTGTTCCAATTTCGGGAACTCTCCCCTATATATATTAGGGCTCTGCGCAGCTTCGAAATTTCGAATCGAATCAAATCCAAAATATGATTTGAAATACGATTCGAAAATTTTTAAAAGTCGAATTTTTACTTATTTTGTTTTTGTTGTGGATATTTTAGATATTCTGCGCTTTGGTGCTATCAAAATAGCGTAACTTATCCTTAAATTCCTTTTTTATTAGTCATTAAAAAGGTTTTTTTTTGTTTATATATACTCATCATTATTAATATAAATTTGTACAACATTTTACCGTGAAATATATGACTGGGGCAAGTAGAAGACAATAGTCTTATCATCTTGCCCCATTTTTGTCGTTGACAAAATTAAACAAAATATAAACCAAATACAAATACGATAATATAATAAAATAAAATAACGAGGGCAAGAAGCATTAATAAAGAGGTTATACAATTGCTTTATTTTATTTTATTTTCAAATATATATTATTAAATAAAAAATGCTTAAATTTAGACTTCAACAAAATGTTGATTCGAAACGTGATTCGAATCGCAAATCAAGACCTGCTTTGATTCGAGATTCGATTCGAAGCAAAAACTGCCGATTCGCAGGGCCCTAATATATATATATATATATATATATATATATATATATATATATATATATATATATATATATATATATATATATATATATATATATATATATATATATATATATATATATATATATATATATATATATATATACATATATATATATATCCAAAAGTTTAGATCCCTATGATATATCAAAATAAAATAAAATGAGTTTTATGTTTAAAAAATAATAACATAAAAGAATAAAATTGATAACTTTAAAATCATAAATAATATAGTGATTTACCAACTATATTATTAAACTTTGTTACAAAATTGTTATCAAATCTGAATGCACGCTAAATTAAAAGTTTTGTTAAGACTGGTATAACTAAAATTCTTGTTGAATATAATAGTTTTTTAGCTAACTTGGTAATATTTTTAACAACCATTTTGAAACTCTCAAAATATATAATAAATTTATGTTGCACAATTTCCATTTCTTGCATTATATATTACAAAATCATGCAGTATTTTGTGCGGCAGCTGCCGCACTTTAAATATATGTGTAGAAAGTATTAGAATTTTATAGAAACCAATATAAAAAAATCTGAAATAAACTTAGAATTATATAAAAAAAAAAATGTTAAAAATTTGAAACAAACTTTTATCACTAAATGCGTTAAGGCGGTAGACTACTAAAAAAGTTAGATAAGTCCGATTTTTCAAAACTCGCATTATTTAAAACAGTAACTCTTGTAGAGTTACTGTTTTAAATAATGCGAGTCATCTAAAAATGTAGAGATATAAATCATCTAAAAATGTAGAGATTTTCGAATGAGAAAAAATTTTAGAACTGAGAAAAGTAATTTATTTCAGCCGCGTAAATTTGTTTTCCCTAGCAACGCTCATAGCAACGGTTAAATAAGGTTAGAAACAAAAAAGTTAAAAAACAAAGAAAAAACCTAAAAGCAACTAGGAATGGGTTCGATAATAAATACAGTTGTTAAAAGAGAAAGTATATAAAAAACGGGGAATTTAACCTGTTTTTACAAGATTGTATATTCAATATTTTAAGTTTTACATGCATTTTTCTCTGTTTTATTCTTCTAAATTTCTGGCAAAGATTGCTAGAGCCGTAATGGTCCAATTGACTTCAAATTTTGTACAGAGACTCATTATAATGAGCTTTATGTCCTGAGAAAAAATCAAGAATACAAATAATTAATTTGAAATATAAGTAAATTAAATATATTTATCAAAAATGTGAGACCTAAAAAATCATTAATTTCACCATAATTTTAAGGGTCACCCATTCTAGATTTTTACTGTTTGTCGTTTTGTCGTTTTTCCGACACATCAAAAAAATTTATTAAAAAAGAAAAGATTTCGGCTGACGGAGTTTTAAATCTAATGTCAAAGAAAAATCCAGGGAAAAATTGGGAAAATCTTCTATACTTCTAGCTTATATAAGACTTTATAGCTTCTATAAGAGTCTACATTTATTATAAAATAATACATAGTATTATTGTAACATTTTAAAATAAATCTCGATATAAAATAATTTTTTTAGATACAGTTTTTATTTTTATCTTCAATTATTTAGTAATTTTGCAACAAAAAAACAGCTTTTCTCCACAATTAAAATCTATATTAGTATATGGATAAATTGAAGTTGAGTGCTGTTAACTCCTTAAACAGATAAATTTATGACACTTTATATTACAGATTATTTTATAAGTAAGTAATAAAACTATTATTAAATCCATGTTAAAAAGATGTTAGGCATATTATAGTAAGATATAAAATAAAATATATTACAGTGATATTGTTATCATAGTACCATTTTGTTTTATATTTAATTAAAAAGAATTAAAATCTGCAAATTTTCAATTCTATTTTTTAGATACATAATCTTCCTATTGATATTATGTTCCCATGCAATAACAATTAAAGCTTTATATAAAAATTCTTTTTTATTGATAATATCAATAATATCAATTAACATTTTCAGGTATGAAAATTTCAATTGGTATCAATAAAAAAGAATTGCAGGACCTCTCTTCCTTTCTTTCTTTCTTTCTTTCTTTCTCTCTCTCTCTCTCTCTCTCTCTCTCTCTCTCTCTATATATATATATATATATATATATATATATATATATATATATATATATATATATATATATATATATATATATATATATATATATATATATATATATATATATATATATATGTATGTATATATATATATATATTTATATATATATATATGTATGTATATATATATATATATTATATATTATATATATATATATATATATATATATATATATATATATATATATATATATATATATATATATATATATATATATATATATATATGTATATCATATATTATTGTAATATTTTACAAGCTGATGATACTGGTATCCATAACTCAACGAAAAGTTCTTCTATAATAAAATTATTTGTATTAAGAGAAACTGTATTTTTTGATGTTTTAAAGTAATATATAATATACTCTTATACAAGATATCATCTTTTAAATATATATATATATATATATATATATATATATATATATATATATATATATATATATATATATATATATATATATATATATATATATAAGGGTGTCCCTTAAAACAATATTTTTGAAAATAATTTGCTCTCACCCCCTTAATTTGTTCTATCTAAAATAAAAACACTAGGTTTAAATTTTAATGAATAAAAAATATTTTAATGGGTCGCCCAAGACCCTCGAATATTTAATGGGTTCCTAATATTTAAAAAAAAAAAGTCAACCTGTTACTCAAATGAAGTGAAATGATCTAAAATTTCAAAAATATTATTCATTTCGAAAAAAAAATTTTTTTCGGTTTTATTACATAAAAAATTTCGTTTTTTAACAAAAAATAAAAATGCATTTTTTATGTTTTTTTATGATAATTTTGATAAGTTAAAATTTTTTCGAAATAATATATGTATGTATGTATGTATATATATATATATATATATATATATATATATATATATATATATATATATATATATATATATATATATATATATATATATATATATATATATAGTTTCTGAAAATTAATATTTACTTTAAAATCTTGAAATTATAGGTATAACCTTACTCAATAGTTATGATGCCTTATTAAACTTGTAAAAAAGATTATGGCTACCGGTGGAACTCTTCAGGTAATTATCAAATAAAAAAGACTTTATTAAAACTTATAAAGTCTTATTATAGTTTCATATTAGTAAACATTGCTGAATAGCCATTATATTTATATAGTTAATACTTTTTTATGATTTTTAGAAAGCTATTGATCTTGTAACCAAAGCAACAGAAGAAGATAAAAATGGCAATTATGCAGAATCTTTGCGTCTTTATGAGCATGGAGTAGAATACTTTCTTCATGCTATAAAATGTTATTTTCTTTTTTATATATATACATATATTTATATTTTACATGTAAAATTAAATATGCATATCTATATATATTATAATTTTATATATAATTGAATTTATAGTTTTCAAATTTGAACTAATTTTTAATCTATTAACTGATGCTACTGTTTTTTTTATTTTTTTATTTTTTTACTTTTTTTTTTAGAATAAAATATTTAATAATGAGTTACCAAAAACTAAATATTTTTTTGTTTTTCCAAGTACTGGGATTCTGAGAAATAAGATTTTTTAAAATTATTACTTTAGCTGGGCTTACCCAAATCCACCTAAAACACTGGTTTTAGGTCTTTACAATAAATTTGTTTATGAATTTTTCTGCTATTAAAAAGTGAAAACTGTAATAATGCACTTATTTTCTTCATAAAAGATTCAACATGGCAATCAACATTTAAAAGAAACTGCTTTGAATTTGATAGTATTTATTATCAACATTTAAAAAAAGCTAAAAATATTAAAAATAACAATCAAGTATAATATTTTCAGTATAATGATAACATTGTATAATTATATCATGTAATCTTATTTTAATAGCATTATGTAATAACATGGTAAAAAAAGTCATTAAAAATATGAATTTTTAACAGTTAAAAGTTAATAAGTAATATATGAAATTTTTAAATTAACAATGTTGACAAGTAAATTTTACATAAAATAACACCTTTCATATATCAAATAACAAATTTTAACAATGTTTCAATTAAGTATAATAGGAAAATATTATAAATATAATTTTCTTTTTTTTAAAAAAAAGTGCTGGTATCAATTATTGTTATATTATTAGATATAATCTCAAATTAAATAAGTTAATGTTCAGTTTGTGTTTTTTTTTTTAAGATGAAGCTCAAAGTGATAAGTCTAAAGAAAGTATCCGTGCAAAATGTATTCAATATTTAGACAGAGCAGAAAAATTAAAGAAATTTCTTGCTGAACAAAATGGTGATAAAAAGAAGCCTGTTAAAGACGGAGGAAGTTCTAATAAGTATATTTTCTTAATTCAAAATTTAATATAAAATAAACTACATGTTCAATTTTAAAAATTAAAAATGCTAGTAAGATAAAAAACAACAGTACAATTAGGCAGAAATTAACAATTTTTTTAACTTAATCTTTTTCTTATTATTTTTAAAAGGAAAAAAAAAGTTAAACTGGTTCTATTAAGTTCTGCTATTTTATATTGGAAATTTTATTGAATTTGGTTCTAAAAATATTTTCTCAAAAATAATTTACAGCATACAATAATAAAGTTTATGATAGTTATACAACAACAAAGTTTATAATAGTTGTACAATAACAAAGTTTATATTACTAAATCTTACATAATAAGTCAAAGAACCAACCCAAAATGAAACACATACTAGATGTAGTAAATAATAAGCCAGATGAAATATCAGTAATTATGCTAGCTGTGATTTGACTTAGATTTGAATGACTATTTCCACGTTGATTTTAAAGTAGAACAAGAAATAGAAAAAAAAGTTATACCATATATTTACATACAAGAATTTTAAAACAGTGGACATACAGTCCTTTAACATCAATAAATTAGGAAATGTACCTCTTTATAAACTAAAAGAGTAAAAATAGTTAAAGCAGCTTGTTAATTTGACGGAGAATATATGCGACTTAAGCAAAAATAAAGAAAAGCAAAAATATTGTTTAAGATAACAAAAAATGAAAGTGACAAAAAACAATATAGACCCATCAGGTAAAAAACAACAATAATTGCTTAAACAAAAAAAATAACATATTTCTCTAATCTATTAAATAAAAACAATACAAGTAAGAATCTATTCTCATTGGTAAACAAGCTACTAGATAAAACTCAAGAATACGTTTTACTATCAGCTGATTCAGGCGAAGAACTAGCTAACAACTTAAATAATTATTTTACTGAAAAAATCTGAAAACTCAGGTTCAATCTTCAAATATTCTAAACAAAGAAAAGCACTTCAGATAATAATTGTCAGTTAACAAAAAATTTTGATCCAACAACATACTAATTAAAAAAAAAAAATTTAAAAACAAAAAAAACATGTCATCTGGAGTAAAATGTTCTCCCGATGATCTTATTCCAGCATATTTACTAAGAAATAATCAACAAACATTTATACATATATGGGTTGAAATAGTAAACCTATCGCTAGTATCAAGCAGCATGGATTCTCTTAAAAGTCCTAGATTACTTCCAATAGGTAATTGACTCAGTTTACAATTGGTTTGAATTATTTTTAGTTAACCGTACCCACTAAGTTAAAATTGGTAATTGGAACCAAAATGTAAAATATGGAGCACCACAAGGTACAATTCTGGGTCGAAAACTCTTAAATATCTATGAGATCACTATACAAATATCTGAACATAATGAATGTTAAAACTTTTAGATACTCAGATGATCATCACACTCTACAAGCTTTTTTTATAAAATTTTCATACAACTTTGGTATTCTTATTTCTAGAGTTGTTGTTGTTTTTAACTACCAAGTTTGATACAAGTTGATGAAAAAAAATCTTTTATAGCAATTTAACAACAATTAAAAGTTTTGATACACAATTTATTCACAATTTTTATCAATCCGTAAAATTAAGAAACTAATTTTCTATGTACGCTAGAACTATGAGAAATTTTGTTTATTTTTTTTTCTGTTTATATGTTTTGACTTCTTTTCGCTTTTAAAAAATGTTTTTGCTGTATTTGATGTTTTTTCTCAATACTTATATAATAGAAAAATAAAAAAATAAATTGCTATTTATTTGTATGATGAAATTAATTAAATAAAAGAGTTACATGATTTCTTTTGTAAATGTATTTACTGCATTTAATGCTTGTCTGAAATTGTTTCATTTATATTGCCCAATTTCCAATGTTAATACAAATTACTAGAGATAATGAACATAACGATTGCTTTGTTTCAACAAATGAATTTAAAAAAAGTTTCAAATAGTCTCTTTAAAAATTCATTAAAAAAGTTCAGTAAATTAACAATGCACAAGCTTTTGGAGCATCGTCAATAACAATAGTTCATCAGGAATTAAACTTAATTTAACGGGTTTTAATGTACAATTTAGATAATCTATCAAAAGTGGAGACTTTTTCAATAGGGGTAATAAAAACAACTAAATATTTTATATTTAAGTATATTAATGACTTTTTATTTTTTTACATGAAAAACTTGTTCAAATTTTTTTTTTTTTTTTTTTTTTTTTTTTACAAAGAAATAGCAATTAGTTTTCTTGCTTTCCTGTGCATTGATAAAAACAGTAGCGTTTAGCAAAATCATTTGAAAATAAATTTGAAAATTGTCCATGTTTCTAGCGCAAATAATAAATTTCCCTAATAAATTTCCCTAATAAACTGAAAAAAGTCACAAAAATTGTATATTAAAAAAAGGTTTTTATTTTTGTTATATTCTTATCTGCTTTTTTCCTCGACTTGTATCAATTTTGATTGTGGAAAATAACAAACACCCTAAAAATGAGAAAACAAAAAGATTAGATTATTTATATATATATATATATATATATATATATATATATATATATATATATATATATAAATTTTTTTTTTTTTTTTACAACATTTTTAAGTTTTTAATATTCAATTTTTTTAGCTTATTTTATTTAGATTTTCTATTTCATATAGTCTTTATTTCCTTTCTTCGAGTATTGCAAATTCTTAAAATGCTTACTATATAAAAATGTGGTCAAATAATCTAAAAATATTATTTTAAGAGAGGACAAACAAGGCTTATTTTAAATACATTCCTTCCTGCATCTGAATATAATGCACCAGTCCTTGATATACCAAAATATTTGAATATATATCTAAATGGATGAGTGAATCAATCTTATGTATTAACCAATCAAAAACAAAAATATTATCGCTCCACCTAGCAATCAAAAAGATATTATTAGAAGGTACTTTTGTTAACAAGGCATGCATAAGATTTGTTGACTCTGCAAATAAGATTGTTTAAAACTGCTACAATATATTAAACAAAATATCCAAAATAAAGCAATTCTTATTGCACAAAAATTTGTGCACCAGAATATGTTTACTGATATTTTCACAGCTAGATTATTAGAACTATTCTAAATTGTGCAGCAAGACTAGAATAGAAAATCAAGTAAATGGTATTGATATGATATAATTAAAAGTTTAATTATATAATATAGTTTATAATTATATAAAAAATTTAAAGTTAGTTAAAAGTAAATGTACAAGTTTATTAAATATCAACATTTTTTTTGATGTGAAAAAACAAAACAAAACAAATTAAAACAAAATTTTTTTTTTTAATTGCCTGCCTAATAAAAAAGTTGATAGTCAATTCTATGTGTTAGCCGGTCATATTGACCACTAATGTTCAATTTTTTATTCTGTGCGTTGTATATATGTGTGTGTATATATATATATATATATATATATATATATATATATATATATATATATATATATATATATATATATATATAATCAGGCTTTCCCAGGAAAGGCGCATGGTCGCACGCCTTGTTTGTCCACGCATAGAATAAATTTTTCTGACTAACTGACCACGTTTTATTATTATGCGTTTCAAGAATTCGCGCCAAAACAAAGCTAAACGAAAATACCGCAAAAATGCAAGCAATCTTTGTTAATGTATATTATTAAAAAAAATTAATGAATATTATTTAAAAAAAAAATTTACCTATATTTTATTTATTTATTTTTTTAGGGTGGTAGTTATTTAAGCTATGAAAAATCAAATCAAAAAGAAAAAGATTAATGTTTAAAGAAAATAAAAGGACTTTTTAATGTAAAATTTGTTTGACTTTTATCAGTCAGTAATACTTTAAAATTCACGATAGAACTATAAACAATTTTTAAATGTTTCGTAAATACATTTAAATGTTTAAATGTATTGATTTTAATGTTTGAATGTATTGATATGCAAGAAAACACGATTGCTATTTATTAGTAAACATGATTGCTATTTATTAGTAAAATATGTTTGTTTTTTTTTTAAATGAAAGAAAATGTTATTGTCAAACGATTGAGTTGCTTATTTTGCAATCATTAATTGACATTGTGAACGAGTGTTAATATATAATAATGTCCCGAAGGAATTGTTTTCGTAACAATGACAACAGAAGCAATGCAATTATTTTTTTAACTTCTTTCGTAATTACAAAATTATGCAATTGAATAATTTCAACGTAATAAAAGGCGAGCATTGACTCAGTAAAATCAGTTTAGAATAAGTCGAGAAAGAACTTTTTTCCCATTAAAATTTTGTTATGTTTAAAATCTCAAATAATATATTTAATAATTAAAACAGCAATTTATTTTCTTGTCTAAGTATTGGGGAATAAAGTCATTGCCTTTGCATAAACCTTCGTAAAAACTAAATTAAATGAAAAAGTTTAACCAAATTTGTCTAGCGTAAATAATGAATCAGTTTTTTAATACATTGTCTGATAAAGTTCGTGAATAAATTACGTATCAAGTCTTTTTATTTTCGTGAAAACTTTATGACTTATCGTCGTCTTTTCCTTGACTTGTATCAAATTTCGTAGCTGAAAATAGCAACCCTAATAAAAGAAAACAAAAACAGTATAAAAATTTTGAAAAAAATGTTCAAGACTTTTTTTTTTTTTGCTACAAGAATTTTTTTTTTTAATTTTTTTTTATTATCAAAATATTTTTCTTACATCCAATTTCAATTTTATACTTTGTTTAGACTTCGTTTCATTTTTTTAATATTATTTTTATTCTCTGTGGATAACTTCCGCTTTCTTACGAAATATTGCCGCGATCACGTTTTCTGAAAAATTTATTCTATGCGTGGACAAACAAAGCGTGCGACCTCACGCCTTTTCTGGGAAAGCCTGATATATATATATATATATATATATATATATACATATATATATATATATATATATATATATATATATATATATATATATATATATATATATATATATATATATATATAT